CTTCGCGAGAATTGGGAGGAAGCGGTCGGCAAAGAAGGAGAGGGCAGTGTACTTGACGATGGGTTGCAGGCTGAGTTTCTGTGAAATTTAAGAAGTTAGGGTTCCGTAATTTGAAGGAGATGAGGGTTTAAAATTTAAACTTACGAGTGAAGATTGAATGAGGAACTCGAGAGTGCGCTGCCGGAGATTCGGAGGAAAAGATGAGGAGAGGATCAAGTAGGACGGTGATGGCTCCATTTCCCTACTTTGTTTTCCTTTCTAGTCTTTTTGTTTTATTTCATTTTCTCCTTTTTCCCTCTTTTTTTTAATCTTCGGTTGCTACAACTGGCGGGAAAAAAGGGTTGAGGTCCTGAGGAGGTGCGGGTGTCCGTGATTTTTTGGTTAAAATATGAAGGAAATTCATAGAAACTCTAACAATAGCAATTTTTATTTCAACTCCTAACAGTTTGGATTTTTATTTCAAGTGACATATCACAGTATACAAGAGCTCGGACGTTTACATCACGCTGAAAAAGGAACAAAAGATTCAAAAATTAAAACCCATTAATAAAAGTTTGATGACTGAGCTTGCTTGAGGGCAAAGCCCAAAGAGAAAGGAAGGGGAAAAAACAGCGAAATATTATTCCTGGATTAGTTTTTCTAATATAACTTCATAATATATATATGTATATCATATTTCCACGTCTCTCCACGAAAGTCTTTGATCTTATTTCATGAGATTGCCATTCGTTTAGTTCAATCTGTACTCCGATGGGCATTTCATCAAACAGATGAGAGGCAAAAAAACTATATTCCAACACGCATTTCACCAAACATCTTCTCTATCGTCTGAGGCTGCGGCAAAGAATGACTTATGGGTATGTGCTACCGGAGAAGTGCTCACAACCTTCAATTTGGTCAGGCTTCGTCCCCGATTACCTATGTTTTTTTCACAGAATGGTTCACTCAGTCCCTGCTCAACCACTCCTCCACTCTGCGGTCTGCACTCATCTAAATGAGACCGTGTGAGCTTCACCCATTCCGGCGGTTTGGTAAGGCACACAAACATTCTTTATTTCATCATACTGGTAAGGCACACAGACGGACTATATTTCGTCAAACAAACGCCTTCATCAGACTATATCCTCTATCCAAATTGCAACATACCTGCTGGATTTTGTACCCACGAGATACATCTCATCACCCGGACCGTTTAAGCCATCAATAAAAAGAGGAAAGAACATGACAACTAAATAAAGATGACCACTTCAGAAGCTGCTGCAGATGATCACTGCAGGGTCTTGCATGAGCTGGGGTCCCATCCAAACAATAGGATAAAGGGAGAAAATTTCATATATACAGATCTCATGACCACAATACATTACAGAAGCACACAAACAATTACCCGTAAAAATAAAACCATCAAAGAGAGATACAAACATAGAAATATACTTGAATTTTTTTTATTATACCGTGTCAGATCTTCTTCATTTTATAATATGGTTTGTTACGATGTTACCAAGAAAATGAACAATATACTCAGCCTTCTCAGCTCATGCACAGGCACAAGCGGAAAACAAAATGAGCTAAAAGGGTGATGAAAACTTCAAAAAGAAATGCTGATAGATAAAAATCTATGTCAAGCACAGAGCTCGCAATCTTCTAGGTAATATTGTCTTAGCTCTTTGAATGCCGCATCTTCTTCTCAACGGCGAGCGCTGCTGCTCTGTACCATGCTGCAGCTGCCATGGCTCCAGGGTCGGGTACAGAAGCTAGCATATCAGGTGAGACATAGGATGATCGGCCAGCCTGCATTTAAGACACAATAGAGTTTAGAAGATGGAAGCAAACAAGTCTAGATACAAATTATACAATTATGCTGCCACGTCACGTATGTCGCTCACTTAGACAGCAGCACAAAAACTACCTCCATGCCACTTGAAATTCAATTTCTTCCTAAAAGTAGAATATCATGGGGACAGTCTGCATATGCATTGTGATTAAGACTCCTTGAGGTGTGAATACTATCTCAAAAATGCTATATCCCAACTCGAAAATTGAACATGAGCTAAGCTGCAAAACCTGTAGTTCCAGAAACTTTAAACATGTTGGGAACCCATTCGTAATGTACCACACTGTGTTAACCACCCTATCATCTTGTCAAAACCTTAAAACAGATAATTCAATGACAAAAGAATTTGCCAATGTTATCTCAGCATGCATATACCTATATGAGAGGGAGTGAAGGCAACAACTGGAAGGAAGGGAAAAAAATTACTTGTGCTTGCATATGTTTTGTAGACTCCGCCCCACTGAGTGCAGCTTCTGAAGAGAGAAGAAAAGCAGTCACAGGATCATCCCCAGCATCAATTCTCTGTTCATAGCAAAATAAAAATCACAAAAAATATTTAATAAATGTAAATGTAAAGGAGTAGAAAGCGCAAGTACACAAAGTAGAACCTTACCTCTTTCAGAACAGCAGATGCTGGAATAAAAGCATCCAACATTGTGCGAAAACCAGCAGCAGCACCTCCATATTTGCTAACTGCAGCAATAGATGACTCAAGAGCCTTTGCCCCTGGGCCATAAGAGGACAAGATAGTTTGTTATATCACCAGGAATAAAGAAATCAATATTAGTTGAGCAGCCAGACTTTTTTTATTTTTTTAAGAGTGGAAACTAAAGCAGTATCTCACATTGCATTGAAGTAATTAGTGGACTTGCTTTCAAGCTTGCATATGCTGCCTTGCAGAATATAACATATCTGATCACATGTTGTATAATTGTATTAGTTCAATGAGAGATAACTTCAGTACACTTTGCATCTATAGTATATATTAAGAAAAGCTCCTCTTTTGATCATTGTAAGCCACATTTTTAGAATACCAAAACTGCCCTCATATCTGACAAAATCAACTGTAAATGCCCTCACATTAAAAAATCAACAAAAATGCCTTCACACTTTGACAAAATCGAAGGGAATATCATCACACTTGGAAAAAAAAATCACAGAAATGCACCTAAACTTGGAAAATCTAAAAAAATCAATGAAAATACAATCAAAATTATACCTATTTGCTTCCTAGAATACTAGTAAAAGTTAAGCAAAATATGTCCAAATATAACACTCCCCCCACATTTTTTGCCATACACGCATCGCATGCACTAGAATACTAGTAAAATTAAGCAAACTATGTTCAAATATGAATTTTTAACAGGTAAAATTTAATTTAAGAGAATGGAATACACAAACAAGAATAAGGAAAGAGCAGTACAAGATGCCACTTGTCCCTCCCATCACCCTTCCAATTGTGGCGCCAATCTCATTGACTGTTTCTGCCGCATCATTTAGAGGGTAACTGTCAAGCAGAAAGATTTTTATCATACAATCAATAAAGAGTAATATTAGTAACAATGGCTACATAGCTCATCTGTACATAAGGAACCAAACAATTTGGTTGTACAGGATCATTTTTCCAAGAATTAACTAAAAAAAAACAATTATGCAACTGACTGTTGGATAAGTTACGAGTATGTTAAAAGAAAAATCAAAAGGGCTGTCCATGGCAGCCTGTCCCCTTTCTTTCCAATAATTCAGTTTTACTAAATAATGACACAATTTATTTATGGATAAGTTTTGTGTGCACGAGCATGTGTTGTTCTTCCTCCCTCCTTCAGTACCTACCCCCTCCCTTCACAGTCCCTCACCGAAAAGTTCAGCAGCAAAGCGAAATTGAGTTTTTTGTCTGGTATCTGATTTACGTTAGCTAGCAATAATACCTAAGGGTTCAAAGAAGATGCATAAGAGTATATAACCAAACCACCCTTCTGTATAACCTATTCACATTGTTTTTACATCATAATCATGTCCAGAAAAAAAGAGAGAAGTTACAAACACATAACTAATACAACAAATCCCCATGCCACATATTTTTCTAAACTTGCTAGCTGGAATGTTAATCCATTCCTGAAAATAACTAGTTGCGCATCAATCTAGATTCCTGTTAGCAATGATGAAAATGGCCAATGAAAGCACAGAACATAATGTCATAAGATTGAAGTTATGACAGAAGAAAGAAAGGGACTGAAATCATTTGCTCTATGTCATCAAAGCAACTAAAAACATCAAAGAAACTAATAAAAACAGGAGCAAAAGTTACCATTTCCTCATGTCCTCTAGAACAGCAGTTGCACCTCTAAACATCTGCAAGAGGCATTTGTACATTTCTATCAACTTTTGTTAATGCTCCCAGATATAAAGCATGGTCCAGTAAGGCAACTTACAGTAGACCCACAGTCACCATCACCAACTTTACTGTCCCAATCGTTCAGCTTTTCCTTTAGATTAATGATCTCATTTGCAGCTGCTTCAATGGCGCACTCTAAGGTGGAGCCTTGTTCATTCAACTCTTTCAGATTGTTAAATGCCTGTTCAGAGATTAAATAAGAATAATAAAAATCCATTTTTTGTTTTGAAGATAACAAAGATGCAACAATCATAAGATTTACATACAAGCTTATGCACACTCACAATAATATACCATTTCTAATCTGAACCAATGGACTTCATACTTTCCACTTTCCAGAATTCTAAACTCAAAAACATTTACAAAATAAACAAGAGTTTACCCTTATACTATAACTAACGAAGAAAAATCATTCTACAATCTACACCTACCATATAATTATAGAAATGCAAAATTGTAAAGCTGACTCTAAAACGGATATTGTAAAGCTAACTCTAAAACGGAAATTGTTTTAACTTTTCTCCTAGTTGTTTGCTATATCTTTTCCACAAAACCGCAAGCAAATCAATAGTTATTTTTCCATTAAATCTGTAAGCAAGCAATATGTGTATCAATTAACAAAGATAAACAATGTCGTTCCTGAAATTTGCAATTTCTAAACCAGAATGATTAGGCGAAGGCAACAGAAACTCTAAGCATCCGACACGCTAGGCAAACATGCTTAATCTCAGAAATGAGGAAGTGGTGTTATACATGTAACAGAAGAAAACCACGAAAAAGGAAAGGAAAAACAAATTTCAAGAAAGTAGGAAACAAAGCCTCCTGTGATATGAAGCATGGACGCTTCCATTGTGATGTCATCAAAGATACACATTGTTGCGTATGCGTCACTAGTGTTTCCGTGTAAATCTCTGAATTTTCTGCATTTATAGTGTTATATCATTCTGTATCCACATCAACATGTCTCCACTTCTTAGCTCTTCTCTCAAGCATTGTTTTAAAAAACCTCCGCCTAGTCCGCTTAGGCGTTCGCATAGGCCTAGGCGGTACCTAGGCCGCCTAACTAGCGCCTAGCGCCTAGGCGGTATTTAGGCTGCCCACCTAGATTTTACGAGCGTCAAGGGGAGCATTGCCTGCTTACATGGATTGCACCTTGTAGGCCTTGGTTGTGATTTTATGTGTTGTAACCTACACGTCCTCCAAACGCCATTAACCTCCAAATATGAACACCTCCACTACCTCCTCCAACCTTCAACAAAATCTCATCGACCACCACTTAAATGAAGAAAGAAATTCCTGTAGACACCAGTCCGACATCTAAGCTTTCTGTAACATTGACATTCACTATCAATTATTGTAATTAAAAATAAAAAAAGAAACATCTTAGGCTCTAGCCTTGTTAATTATTATTTTGGCTATTTAGTATCTAAGTATGCATGATTTATTGTGGAACTAAAATTGCTATCTTTTTTTAAAAATTTATTTGAATTTAATACATACATATTGTAATTTGAATTGAGATGAACTTATAATTTGAGTTGAGAAGTATAAACTTTTAAAGAGCTATTGTAATTGGTAAACCAAGCAATTTAGTTAATAGTGTTGGTATTTTAGTATTTATACATCTTTGATTGAGTATATATATATATATGTATTTATCTTCAAGTATCACAATTAAAAAAAAAAAAAGAAAAAAAACGCCCAAAAACTGTTTAGGCGCCCTCCTAAACGACTAAGGACTGAGCGCCAAGTCCGACGCCTAGAAGCGCCCAGCGTTTAATGTAACATTGCTCTCAAGGGAAGTGAAAGATAAAACCCATGCACGAAAGAGAGAAATTTGGTCCATATTTCCAAGAGGGAGTACCTTCGTGGATCTATGCCTGACCTCACACATCTATAATTTCGTCAGCAAAGTAAATGATTTCCTTACCAAACTGCAACTCCTATGTTATTTTCCACCAAGGGGGAATCTAGTCATTCAACTTCCAAATAGATAATATCCAATACTTGTGTAACATGAATTACATGCAGTTGCAAGTATATGCATCTGAACGTCATTTAATAATCACTTCATATGGCATTAG